GAGTCCAGAAAAGCTGTGGCCATCAGCAGAAAAGTCTTTACCAGTAACTTAGAAAATAAAAATTATGACCTAGATCTGGTTACTGTGGTGCAGTTGTTAAGCCATAGCTTGCAGTGTCAGCATCCTATATTGGAGTGCTGACTGGAGTCCTAGCTGTTGAACTCTCATTCGGCTTCTTGCTAGTGTTCTCTTGAGGCAGCTAAGGATAGCCCAAGCACTTGGGCCTCCATCATCCATGTGGGGGAGCAGATGAAGTGTCTGGCTCCTGGTTTGACCTGCCCCAGTCCTAGCACTGTGACCGTTTAGGAAGCAAGCCAACAGATGGAAAATGTTTTTCTCTCTTTTCTTCTGTCACCATGTCTTTAGAATGAAAAAATCTTTTTAAAAATTATGACTCTTAAGATCTCTTATTTCTAGAATAATGCAAAAGATTAAAAAAACAGAATAGAAATGTAATGATTTATTTCCCAAATTTCAACTCTGTCAAAATATTTTGTGAATATAATATATGAGTGTGTGCATGCGTGCGTGCATGAACTTATGCCCATTAGCTCTAAGGGGAAGAAGGTAGCAGACACTTAAACAAGAAAGGAGTTCTCAATTCAAAGCCCAACTTCTCTTTCCAAAGTAACAGACAGAAGGGATGCCTTCAGTACTGGCTTCTGCATCAGGGACAATGATCCTACTGATACTTCCTGCCCATCTTCACAGAGAATGATAGCCAGATCACCCTATGGCTCAAAATCTGTAACATTTTTAATCTAGAACCACAAAAATATGATGGTATGGCACCTAGAAAATAATCAATATTTGTTGAATGGATAAATAGAAATCAGAGATGACAACATGGGAAAATCCTGATGATTACTGAAACTGGATAATGAATCTGAAATGTTCCAAAATAAAAACTCTTAAAATATCTTAAAAATTGTCATCTCAACCATTTAAAATAATTTGTGAATGTTTTTATTTGACAGGCTTAGAGACAAAGAACTTCCACCTGTTGGTTCTTTCTCCAAATGCCAGCAACAGCCAAGGTTGGGTCTCAGCTATACTGAGAATCCAATACCAGCCTTCCAGGTGAGCGGCAGGAAGCCTATACCTTGAGCCATGACCTGCTGTTTCCCATCGTGCACTTTAGCAGGAAGCTAGAATCAGAAGTTCAGGTGGGACTCGAACCCCAATCTCTATGATGGATGATGCAGACATCCTAAGTGGAGTTTTCACTGCTGCAGCAACTACCCACCTCTGAAAACTTTTAAAATGCTTTTTAAATGCAACAAAATCCAAATTATATGTATAACATATTTAGTAAAAATTAATAATTAATAAAACAGGAAGAAAACCAAAAATCCTGGGGTTTTTTGTTTACTTATCTTCACTTATTTGAGGAGCAGAGTGGGAGAAAGAAAGACGTATCGTTCATCTATTGATTGATTCTCCAAATGCTTGCAATAGCTAAGGCAGGACCAGGTTAAAGTCAGGAGCTTGGAATCCCAACCAGGTCCCCCACAAGACCTGTAGGGATCCAAGTACTTGAGCCCTAACCTGTTGCCTCCCGTGATGCACTTCACCACAAAACTGGATTAGAAGCAAAGTAGCCAGGATTCAAACTAGGTACTCTGATACAGGATTTGGGAATTCTAAGTGGAAGCTTAATCTACTGCACCAAAATACCTGCCCTAAGAATTCTTATTTCTAAAGACAGTTATAATAGTATCAGAGGTATTAGAAAATAAAGAAGATCATGCATGTTTAAGTTCAGCACAATGGCCTGGCACACAGGACATACACAGCACAAGGATATCCTCCACTTTATTATCTGATTCTGACTTGGGGCCCTGCATTCAACTGTCTATGATTGTGGACTAAATATTAGAAAGCAAAAAATCTTCCCCCTAATATCTCCCAGTGTCTTTATATAGAAATTCTTAGCTGATTAATCAAAGTTTAGTTTATTTGGAAATATGGGGGAAATCTCAATTATAAGAGATTACTTCGTTTGAGTAAACAGTTGCAGAATCTCTGAATGGACAAATACATCTGAATGTATTCATCTTTTCTTTCCATCCTTTCCCTGTTTCTCACAGCCATGCACAAGTCCACTTGCATCCGAAAAGACAACACAGAACTGAAGAAACAACTGCCAAACTAGTTACCTTTAAGTAAGACACAGTATGTAGATGTACTTAAAGCAGCTGAAGAAGAGGAGGGGGTGGTAATACGCAGTATCAGGAAAGATCTAGAAGCAGAAAGGAACTTAATTAAACTCTTATTGACCCCCAGGAGAGTTTGCAAGCTCACACCCAAAACTTCTGGCTCTTTCTCACAGAGCCTGACTAGGGAGCTACAGTGCTTGGACACTGGACTCCTCACTCCCCCATTATACAAAATGAAAACAGAATCAATTAGAAGTTTCCCTTCAAGTCAATCCAGCACTAGATACATCCTCACTGTTAAAGTTAATTGCTATAATCCTTGCAACTCAAAGGGACTTCTACAGTCTATAATGCAGAGGATGTGATCATATTTTCCTGTGATTCTTCCTTAGCTTTAAAGCCGCTGTTCTGCACACTGGTTCTGATTCTGCTGACAGAGAAAAAATGTGAAGCAAGAAGTTGTACATACTACTGAGCATCAAAAATGTCCTAGAAGCCAGTTTATCTAAAAATTTCTGATCGGAACTCACAGCCGTGTGTGTGTGTGTGTGTGTGTGTGTGTGTGTGTGTGTGTGTGTACATTCTTTTTTTTTTAAGATGGCTATCTTTATTGGAAAGGCAGATTACAGAGAGAAGGAGTGACAAAGAAAAAGACATTTCATGCACTGGTTCACTCCAAAAATAGCCAAAATGGTCAGAGTTGAGCTGAGCTGAAGCCAGGAGCCAGCAGCTTCTTCCTGGTCTCACATGGGTATAGGGCCCTAAGAATTTGAGCTGGCTTCTACTGTTCTCCCATGCCATACTTGGGAGGTGGAGGATTAGCCGGTTGAGCCATTGCACCGGGCCCTTATCAACACTTCCCTAAAAGTAAAATTACAGTGAGCAGCATCATGGTGTCACAGGAAAAGCTGTCACCTGTGACACCAGCATCCCATACGGGCATCAGTTTGTGTCCTTGCTGCTCCATCTCCAACCCAGCTCCTTCCTAATGGTCCATAAGAACTCCTATTCTGTAAGAACAAGGGCCAGTGCATTTTTCTGTAGATCGGCATGTATGAGAACTGAACATGATTTTCACTGCCATAGGTTTGACTCATAGCATTCTTAAATCTTTTTTTTTTTTTTTTTAATATGATGGGTTCCTGTGTTGTGGAATAGCAAGTTAAACCCATACCACAACGCTGGCATCCCATATCAGTACTGATTCAAGTCCTGGCTTCTACACTCTCAATTCAACTCGCTGCTTAATACTTCTGAGAAAAAAAAATAGAGGATGGCCAAAGTCCTTGGACCCCTGCATCTCTTTGGGAGAGACCCAGAATAAACTCTGAGCTCTTCGCTTCAGTGGACCCAGCCCCAACTGCTGCAGTCAGCTGGGGAGCAAAGCAGAAGATGACAGGGAAGATTCTCTCTGTCTCTCCTTCTCTCACTGTAACTCTGCCTTTCAAGCAAATAAAAAGTAAATCTTAAAAAACTGGCGTGCATATAAAGATATATTCCTAAATTTAAGAAACTGAAATAATACGAACTAAAAAGCAAAACAAAAGCAGGTACACTTATAGACACACATTATTGCACACGTGAAAACATATAGCATTATTTTTAGTGCTTTCCATTGCCAATTAATACTCAGTAAGCAAGTTTTTTCTTTCCAAGGCCCACTGTCCATTTGTAACTTTTTCTCAAACACTCATCTGAATCCATGAGGTATTATTTTGAGATATTAACTTATTCTTCCTTTTCCCCTCTTCCCTTTCCTCCTTACTCCTCTCTGCCCATCTAGGGCTTGGTACTGTGGCACTGCCTCAGAGAGGTACAGGGCAAGGCAAGGAGCAGACGTGCCAAGAAATCTTTCAAATTTTCATTTTTTCAGAGCTGGGAGAGCAACAGAACAGGCAGAGGCAATGAGAACAGAAATAGCCAACTAAAACCTGTAGGTCAGAAGGGGCTTCCGGTGGTCCTGTTCCGAAGACTCCTCTTATGAATCAGTGGCGAGGAGGTGACAAAGGAACAGTTTATTTTCCCATTTACCTGACACAGAAAAGACTGGCAGAGATTCAGTTCACTACAGTCCATGAAAAAACACAATACTGCTTCACGCCTGCCCCCATATTCAGGGATTCCAGCTCACTACCAAGGTGTTTTCTAAGTATTTTTCTTCACAACCTGTCACACCCCGTTCGTTTTAACCCACTTTAAAAGAAAAAAATGTCAATTTAAAAAAAAATTTGTCCAACGGGAAAATTTTAAAAGTTGGTAGAAGACCAAGAAATTACATAGTCCAGCCCCACCACCTCAGTTGACAAATCTTGCAAAAAGCCAAATTCCATACATCAGAACCGACTCCCAAGCTCACAAAAAGAAATCTGAGGAATTTAATAAAGTCACACATGGACTTCATACAAAAGAAAAAAAAAACAAAACCTTTAACTTTTTCTTGACTTGGCATTCTATCTTTTTTTAGAAAGAGGGGGCAGAATTACCGTACAACAACTTAAACCGCACAGAACTTCCCAGAACATTCTGGAAGCATACCCAGGCCAATCCGGCGGGGCGACAGAGCGACCCGGCCCTGACAAGGTTGGTGCGTCTCCAGGGAAGACGCTTGGAGAAAGCCTCCACTGACTAAACACTTCGAGGGAAGGGCTCGGTCTTACAGGGAGAGGGGGATTTCGACGCAAGGTAACGGGAAGTGTGCGCTGAGTGGCCGGATTTCCAACCTTTCCAGCCCCTCTTTGGACCGCGGAAACCTTCCATCAAGAGAGCTACACCAATCAGAGGTAAGAATGCCTCCCCGGCGCGCGCGAGCCCCGCCTTCCCCTATATATGAGCGAGGAGCTGAGGCGCAGCCCCTTCGGCTGCAAGCGGACCCTGCGAAGGGCGGTGTCGTCTGGGCGGCACTGCCGAGACCCCCACCCAGGACGGCGCCCCCTCCCCGGGCCTCTCTCCCCTCTCGCCCGCCCGCGGGTCCCCCCGTCCCCTTGGCCTCTGGAATCTGATACCGTGGGGGGTGAGGTGAGAGCAGGCCCGGGGAGGGAGGTTAAGCACTGAGGAGCTGCCGCCGCTGTCAAGGTGAGCTGGGACTGCGTCGGGGTGGGCTCTCTCGGGGTGCGGGTGGGACACAGAGTTGGGTGCGTGGGGTGACTCGCGGCTCCGAGCCGCGCTCTCCCGCTAGTGAGGACGCAAGCCCAGGCTAGTCCCAGCCGGAGGGGCGGGGCCGCGCCCTGCCTCCGGTTTCAGCGAGACAGTTAGTGGCTTCTCACCTCCCCAACCCTAAACATCCCTTACCTGCCTGTCATTCGGTTGGTGTTTGGGGCATCCAGGACCCAGGACCCTTGATGAAATTCCCACTCTCGTGTTGTTAACTAGATGAACCCGTCTCCCCCACTATGTGCTCTCTCATAGCACGCTTTGAATTTCCTTGATTCTGATAAAAAAAAAAAAAAAATAGAACTGTTTCTGAGCATGGGTGCCGGGGTGTGGGGCTACACTTTTTAAACGAATCATTTTGTTTAATCTTCACAATCATACAAAGAAACAGTTCATGCCTCCCATTTTACACACAGTTAGATTTGTGCAATTTTAAAGAAACTGTGCTAAGCTGATTGTATGACTTCAGATGGCTTTCCCAATCTGTGGTGGTAGGTAATAACTTTATCCCCACCTTTCAGATGAGAGACTACCAAAAAAGAACTAACTTGTATAACTCACACTGTTAGTTAGTGGCAGAATGTAAGATACCGTCTAATTTTTAAAGTTTTGATATCCTCATCTGTCCGTGGTTATCTGCTTACAACTTATACAAGTATTTCTCGAAGACTTGAGTTTTTAAAAAGGTAGGAATCTTGTAGAAGGGCGTGGGGGAGATAGCACTTGACAATAAGGTAGATTGCCGGGAGGGGAGGCGAGATTCATAAACTGAAAGGTTCTTGGGCATCATGCGGCACAGCCGAGGAAAGCCAGGACTACTCTGAATTCCTTTCTGGGCCTTGTTCTATTTATAGATGATAGAGGTCCCGACAACAACTGACTCTCAGAAACTGCTACAGCAGCTGAACGCTCTGTTGGAACAGGAAGCTCGATGCCAGCCGAAGGTCTGTGGCTTGAGACTGATCGAGTGTGCACACGATAATGGCCTCAGAATGACGGCTCGGCTGAGGGACTTCGAAGTAAAAGATCTTCTTAGTCTAACTCAGTTTTTTGGTTTTGACACGGAGACATTTTCTCTAGCTGTGAATTTGCTGGACAGATTCCTGTCTAAAATGAAGGTATGTGTAAAGCTATGTACAGGATTGTTTCCACGCAGTGGGTTTTACAGATGGATTGCTAGCTCTTCATTGAAAACCATCATCTTTTTCATTTTCAGGAAACAGAAACACTATTGTTTTGTGTAGTACAGCAGTAAGTACGCTTATCATGATCAACAGTAATGCATCTTTCATTACTTATGTTCAGAGATCAAAAGCAGTATCGTAGTATAATATCAGGTAACTGATCACAGAATTTTCCAACAGAAAAAAAATGGCCATTGCTTTTAACAGTTTTTCCAGAGAGATTATGTCCATGTACTTAATATGATTTTTAGGTTTAAAGAGTTTGCTAGAGGTCTAGAATGCTACAGTGTGTTTAAGAATTAGGATATGTTCCTTAGTCACTATCCACTAAACTCCTGTTTGCTTTGACCATTTGGCATTTCCAACTTCAGTTTGCATCGGATAAAGTTATCTTCTGAAGGAGTGACTTTTATATAGTTACTTCCTTATTGTAAATGAATATGTGTGTAGCTGTCAGGACTTAACTGTTAAAAATGCATCTGCCTTCCCTGAACTCCAAGATCATGAGGAAAATGAGCTGATATGACAAGTAGAATTATTCTCTAAGTTTACTTTTCTATGGCTAATGCAATGTATCATATATTAAAGGAACTCAGTATTTGTTAAGTGGGTCAAAACAATCTATTCAGCATACATTCAACAGCTCTTTAGGTACTTACATGGGTAGGTACTTCCTTTGAGTCCTTTAATGTTAAAAAATAAACAATACATAGCTGCACCTCAAGGGTAAGATAGGCTTATGTGAGAATGAGGTGGTTGCACTGATAGCTACCATACAGTACAAGTCTAATTTAAAAAATCACATCATTATCTTTAAATTGGCAGGAATGTACTCTGAAAAAGGACAGAGAGCAGAGGTATTGTTAGAAGTTTCATTTGAGCTGAAACTTAAAGCCTACATAGAGTTTTGACTGTTTTACTCTGAACTTTAAAACGTGACGTGAAAAAGCAAAATTGTTAGTAGACAGAACTTTATAGATATGGTAAACAACATGTGTTGTTATAGGTTTTAAAATGTTACTAAAATAAAAACAACCTAGAACAATACATGGCATCCAATTTCTGCAGAGGAATTTTGTGAATAAGTCATAACATGTTTCAGCCCTCATGTAATGACCACTTACCATGTCTAATCAAACTTATAATTTCACAGTGATAAAAAAAAAATTTACAGTGGAGTCAAATATTATACTAAAACTTAGTTCAGTTACTCAAAAATTGGATCCAAATAGAGCTCATAAAACTAACAGGCTACAATTTAGGTATGAATAGATTTTGTCAAATCCATTATAGTTGAAAATATAGCTCAAAAATATTTCGTATTAGATCTGAGTTCTAGATTAATCCTCATGTTTTAGTCATTGAAATAAGGTAGAAATACAGTCTTACTGGTTGTTTGTTTTTAGGTACAGCCCAAGCACCTTGGATGTGTCGGTCTGAGCTGCTTTTATTTGGCTGTAAAATCAACAGAAGAGGAAAGGAATGTGCCATTGGCAGCTGACTTGATCCGAATAAGTCAGTATAGGTTCACGGTTTCAGATTTGATGAGAATGGAAAAGATTGTATTGGAGAAGGTGTGTTGGAAAGTCAGAGCTACCACTGCCTTTCAGTTTCTGCAACTGTATTACTCCCTCCTTCAAGAGAACTTGCCATTTGAGAGGTATGTGACCTGCGTTCTAAAAAAAAATGTTCAGAAATCAGAATGGTGTTTGGATACTGTGTGAGATCAGTGTCCATATAGAATTCTATTGAAAATAGTAAAATGACAGCAGGGGCTTCCTGAACTTTACTGCCTTCCAAAACTGAGAAGACTCTATTGTAATTAACTTAATGAAGACTTGGCATTAAAGAACATTTCAACTTACATAAAACTTAGTGGGTTAAAATTTAACACAAATTATGGAAAAAGGATACTCATTAGATACAAAAAAAAAACGGGAAAAGGAAAAGTAAATCATGACATAATACTGTTAATTTTTTGAACTAAATAATTAAAAATCATATATGGTACTCTTAAGAAATTTATATTTGATGCAATGGAGATTCCTTTAAGTCTGTACGCCTTATGAAAAGTGAGCATCAGTTTCTCCTTAAAATGGTTTTATAAAACAATGTATGTCTTGATTAGCTATAATATTATCTGTATAAAATGAATCCCATGTTCTTTTTAAAGGAGAAACAGCCTTAATTTTGAACGACTAGAAGCTCAACTTAAGGCATGTCACTGCAGGATCATATTTTCTAAAGCAAAGGTAAATATTCATACAGATTAAAATTGTTTATATAGATTTGTTTATATAGACCTATATTTGTATCTTCTATTTACTTTAAATGTATCTCTTTCAGCCTTCTGTATTGGCATTATCTATCATTGCATTGGAGATTCAAGCACAGAAATGTATAGAGTTGACAGAAGGAGTAGAATGTCTTCAGAAACATTCCAAGGTATGTCAGGGTCATAAGCTAAACCCCATAGCTGCACAAGGAACAGAACCACTTGTACTATCTCGTGAAGAGAAATGAATGTTATATGTTGATTTGAAACTTAGGTAGCTAATCCAAGGTTTTTATTTTGCTGAGAAAGGATATATATTAGGAGAGTTGCATTTATTACTGTAAATACAATGTAAAATAATTTCATTTTAATTGAATAATTGTTTTTAATTTATGCACAGATAAGTGGCAGAGATTTGACCTTCTGGCAAGAGCTTGTATCCAAGTGTTTAACTGAGTATTCATCAAACAAGTGTTCCAAACCAAATGTGCAGAAGTTGAAATGGATTGTTTCTGGGCGTACTGCACGGCAACTGAAGCATAGCTACTACAGAATAACTCACCTTCCAACAATTCCTGAAATGGTTCCTTAATTGGTCAGTTTGGGTCACTGCTAGTCTCCATGCAGAGGAAAGTATCCAGTACTATGACTTCTTTTTATAAGAATTAGGATATCAATATTTTCAAAGTAAACAAAATGGAATTGCAGAAGGGAAGTGAATGCACTGATCTAGTCAGCTAATATTTGAAGACATTTTCTGCGTATAGCACTCTACAGAGAGGTTGGAATTATCCAACCTCTGATGCATATGTAAGTCATACCATCCCTCAGGCAAAAACAAACACAACCAAAAACCCCCAGCAGCTTCCACAACAACCCCAAGTTTTAAAAGTGTCAGTAAAATCATATTTTCTTTTTGATCATAATCATACTCCATTTAGACCCATGGCTCATTTATAGGTATGTTAACCAGAGTACAATTAGACCAAACTTTTGGATCCTATGTGGACTAATTTGAGTATGTTCGCTTATAAGCTAGATCAATATGATCTTATATTTTAACATTTCAACTGCATTTAAGGAAAAAGCAAGACATGGCAAATCCATCTGCACTTTAGGTATTTGGAAGCTGTAAGTGTCTCAACATTCCAGTTACTAAAACTGATGGAATTCTAGAAAGCAGTTAAATGCATTAAAAAAGTAAACTTGGAATCATCTCATATATTTTTGACACGTCTTAATTATGATTTATCTTTTTCCACTCAATATTTAACACATGTATGATTATGAATTTCAAATATGATCAACTCATTTTTAATAACACTTCACAGATGTCTGATAAGTTGGGTTTTTGGTGGTGGTTTTAGGGAGTATTATTAGAGTAACATGCAACAAAAACTCTTCTTTGAATCTTTTCTCCACCATCCTGAGCTATGGATTTCATATTATCTTGAGTTTAAATTTGAAGCCTTCTAACTTCACTAGATTAGAATGATGCCCTCAGGTTTAGGAAGACTGTCTAATTAATATATACTGTAGTGGAATTATCTGTAGGTATGAATTCATCTGTGATGTAAAGTTAAAGCATAAATGTGAAGCACTAATGACAAGACTGGGAAAGTAAACTGTGAATCGTTTCTTAACACTGATTTAGCTTTCTATATCTGATTGAGTATGATTGATGTGTTTAGGTAGTATTAAAAAGGCTAACCTACATAATTTAAATAATTTAAATTATGAGGTTTTCATCAAAATAACATTTCACAAATAATAAAAGTTAGTGCTTTAGGCAGTGAAAATTGCTTCTTGTCACCCAAAATGCAAATATAATCCTGACATGGAGACAATACCAGGACAGGGGAATTACATTTAAATTAGAAGCATTTTTTAGAAAGCAGGGAGAAAACAAATATGGAAAGTTTGGAAAATGCATAATCATGAATATTTTTTCGAGGAAAATGGTGGTTTATACATATGATAAAATATTTTATACTGAATCAGTTGCCTCAATCTAGTTTTATCAAGAAATTTGTTTTCTATTTCATCAGTTGCTTGAATTATCACTTTGAGAACTTATTTTAGCCCACTAAAGTAAGTTCAGACAAGCTTTAACACTCCAGATGTATTTGTTAAGTACTGGTTTTAATAAAATTGCCATTGCTTCTTAATTTAAAATTTTAGAATTTTATCTGAAAGGAGAATATACATTAATGCCTGTCCTGCATCTTGAGAATAGTAGATACTTTCGCAAATAGGTCACTGAGGCAGAGTTCAGTAAACATGGCTAGTCAGCGAGAGTAAGGCCGGTGACTGTGTCGAAGTGCCACGGGTGATGAACAGAACGGCGCATGGCTGAAGTTCAGAATGGCTGTGATGAGCTTTGATGTTGTGTTGTGGGTAAATAGGAAATGCAAAAAATAAATAGTAACCAAAGAATGACAGCATAGATTATCCTTACATTTTGCCAGCTGTGTTTTACCGATGACTTCAGTTTTGCTACATTTCAGTTGTTTTGCTACATCAGTTGTTCACTTTTGAGTTGGCCCAGGTAACCTAACCAAATACCATTATGTTTGGTACCAAGTAATAAACCTTTCAATAAAATTATTGAAATGTAATCCCTTCCTATGTGATTTTTTTTCCTTAAGATTTATTTTTGGGCCTGGCATGATAGCTTTATAGACTATTGATTATTGATCCCCATTCAAGCACAGGGATCCCATATGGGTGCTCATTCCAGGCCCAGCTGCCAATCCGAGCCAGGAGCCTCTTCCGGGTCTCCCACAGGGGTGCAGGGTCCCAAAGCTTTGGGCCATTCTCGACTGCTTTCCCAGGCCACAGGCAGGGAGCTAGATGGGAAGCAGGGCCGCCGGGATTAGAACCGGCACCCATGTGGGATCCCGGGCATGCAAGGTGAGGACCTTAACCACTGCGCCATTGTGCCAGGCCCTGTCTCTTTTTTAATAGTAAAATCTTTATTTTTATTGGAAAGGCAGAGTTACACACAGAGATCGGAATCGTCCATCTGATGGTTCACTCCCCAGATGGCCACAAGGGCCAGCACTGAGCTACTCTTAAGTGAGGAGCTTCTTTTGGGTTTCCCACATCACGCAGAGGCACACTGACAATGGGCCATCCTTTTCCAAGCCATAAGCAGGGAGCTGGATCAGAAGTGGAACAGCCAGCAAACAAACTCAAGCCTATATCGATGTCAGTGCCACAGTCTCATGCTTAGCCTACCATGCTTTGATGCTGCACTGTTTTCTTTCTTAAAAATTTATTTTTAAGATTTACTTAAAAGACGTATCTTCCACCCACTGGTTTGCTCTTCAGATATGCTCAACAACCGCAAACTGGGCCATGTTAAAGCCTGGAGCATGGCATTCTTGAAGTTCTCAGGCAGGTGGCAAAGATTGAAGCACTGGAGCCATTCCTTGCTGTCCACCAGGGTCTGCGTCAGAAGGTAGCTGAACTCCAACGTGGAGCCAGGGTTTGAACCCATGTCCTCAAATATGGGATGCAGGAATACAAACCAATATCTGAACATCAAAGATACCATTTTCTTCTAATCCCAGCAGTATGAGAACAAGACCAGATAAGAAGTTTTCTTGAAACTGGTATCATTACACAGTGGATTAAACTGCTGCCAGGAATGCCAGCATCCCTTGTGGGCTGCTCCACTTCCTGTTCAGCTCCCTGCTCATGTGACTGAAAGTGCGTGGTCTCCTAACACCCCTGCAGGGGAAGCCCAGAAGCTCCTGCATCCTGGCTTTGGCCTGGGCTGTGGCCTCTGAAGAGTGAACCATAGAACAGAAGTATTCTATCTCCCTCTGCAAATGCCTTTCAAATAAAATACTCTATAGTGTACTTAAATTCAGAACTGACATAAATACTTGGAAACAAAAACAGTAAAATCTTTCAGTATGCCTGTTACCTAATTAACCCTTTACTACATGGGGGTTTTTAAAAATAGACACGATTTCTTTTACTTTTTTATTGGCAAGGCAGATACACAAATAGAAGGAAACAAAGATCTGTCCTCTGGTTCACTCCCCAAGTGGCTGCCAAGTCAGGAGCCAGGTGCTTCTTTTGGGTCTCCCATACTGGTGTAGGATCCCAAGGCTTGGCTATCTTCTGCTGTGTTCCCAGGCCACAAGCAGGGACTTGGATGGTAAGTAGAGCAGCAAGGACACAATCGACACCCGTATGGGATCCCGATGGATTCAAGGTGAGGGTTTAGCTGCTAGGCTTTTGCACTGGGCCCTAAAAGTTGATGTATAGGCATTATCCATTTTTGTCTTTCAGCACTGTCCTGAATTTATATGCTTAATGCAAATTTAAGCATGTAAGCTTTTGTGCACTTGATACCTAATTAAACGGCATCTCAGTAGTTTAGCTGCTAAGGATAATTTCCAATGAAAGCTAACCTGCTTGGATCATTTGATGATTATGATCATAGGATAGTAAGAATAATTAGAATCATTTTTTAAGATATGTTTTTCTAACATATTGCTTGTAAGTGTGAAACATAATTTTTCAAAAACCCAAAACATAAATTAGATAAGCCAATTTTGTACGCATTCACCAAAGTAGACTTAGGAGAATATTACCAAGCTGAAGAGGGATTTTAAGCATAAAAGAATGAATTTGGAGCCGGTATATGGTGGCATGACAAGCTGGTTCTCTGATGCAGCAAAAGTCTCCCCTGTGGGCACCCGTTAAAGTCCTGGTTGCTCCACTTCTGATCCAGCTCCATTCTTATGACTGGAGGTGGATCCAGCACCTTGGCGACGTGCATCCATGTGAGAGACCTGAAAAAATTTCCTGGTTCCTGGTCTCACATTGGCCCAGCTCTGCTCCAGTCATCGCAGCCACTTGGGGAGTGAACCATAGATGGAGAGACCTTCTCCCTGTCTCTCCTTTTATCTGTAGAAATCTGCCCTTCAAATAAAAATAAAATCTTTAAAAAAAATCAGTTAAAGATGACATTCCTAGATCAATAAGTGTTACTATCAAGTCAACACTGCAGGTGAAATGGACAATCTTTCACTGACAGAGAATGAAATACTCTTTTCAGATTTGATAAATCTAAAAAATATGCAAAGATAAGATGCTGAACTCCATATAACACGTTTTAGCTGACTTAAAACACAAAACAGGCTAACCATTCTACAAAGTGCATAAGTTTCTACCAAAATGGACTGTTACCCTAGATCTTTAGCAAATGTAAAAGAACTGAAATCACACAAAGTATGTTCTTGCACAATGAACTAGAAGTCACTAAGAAAAGAAAAATCTCTGAATATTTGGAAATTAAACAACAGGTTCCAAGGAGAAGTCTCAAAAGAACTATAAAATATTTTAGGGCTTGCTGTGTCACAGCAGATAACCCCCCCGCCCCCCCCCCCCCCCCGCCGCCAGCATCCCATAAATACTACTTTGAGTCCCAGCTTCTCCATCTCCAATCCTGCTCCCTACTAACATGGCCAGGAAAGCAGTGGAAGACAGTCCAAGGACTTGGTCCCTGAATCCCTTTGGGAAACCCATAAGCAGCTCCTGGCTACAGCCTGGCACAGCCTTGGCTGTGGCAGCCATTTGGGGAGTGAATCAACAGATGGAAAATCACACCCTTTGTGTCTCCTCTCTCTGCCTTTCAAATAAATAAAAATTTTTTTAAAGATTTATTTTGTTTTGGGCCCGGCGCCATGGCGCAAGTGGTTAAGGTCCTCGCCTTGCACGCCTGGGATCCTGTATGGGCACCGGTTCTAATCCCGGCAGCCCTGCTTCCCTTCCAGCTCCTTTCCTGTGGCCCGGGAGAGCAGTCGAGGACGGCCCAAAGCTTTGGGACCCTGCACCCCTGTGGGAGACCCGGAAGAGGCTCCTGGCTTCGGATCGGCATAGTATCGGCCGTTGTGCTTACTTGGGGAGTGAATCATCGGACGGAAGATCTTCCTCCAATAATTTTATTGGAAAGACGGATATACAGAGAGGAGATACAGAGAGGAAGATCTTCCGTCCGATGATTCACTCCCCAGGCGGTCGCAATGGCTGGAGCTGAGCCAATCTGAAGCCAGGAGCCTCTTCCGGGTCTCCCACAGGGGTGCAGGGTCCCAAAGCTTTGGGCCGTCCTTGACTGCTTTCCCAGGCCACAGGCAGGGAGCTGGATGGGAAGCAGGGCTACCGGGATTAGAACTGGTGCCCATATGGGATCCCGGGCGTGCAAGGTGAGGACCTTAACCACTGCACCACTGCGCTGGGCCCGAAATAAATAAATTTTAAAAATACATCTATCTATACATAGGTGCATTTTTTAAAAAGATTTATTTTGACTGGAAAATCAGATCTACAGAGAGGAGAGACAGAGAAGATGATCTTCCGCCCGCTGATTCATTTCCCAAGTGGCTGCAACAACCAGAGCTGTGCTGATCAGGAGCCAGGAGCTTCCTCTGGGTCTCCCACAGGTGCAGGGTCCCAAGGCTTTGGGCTGTCCTCAACTCAACAATCTATAACTGACAACTTTTTTTAATGATAAAAGACAATGCTTTTCAAAACCAGAACATGTGGCTGCAACATCTCTACTTTTTTGTTTAAGCAATCAAGCAAGAGAAAGAAAAGATCTATAAAGGGCAAAAGAAGAAGAGTCGCATTTATGGTTTATGGAGATAGTCAAAGAACTGCTAGTACTAATCATCAAATTTAGCAATTAGCAAAGTCACAGGATTCAACGTCAAAAACTAAAAATTGAATATTTATACTGCTGTACACTAACAATGAGTAATTGGAAATCCAAACTTCAAAACCATTCACACTAGTCCTCCCCATCCCATGGGCTTTTGGGAATAAGTCTATCAAAAGAGGTGAAGGCTCTATAAAGAGAAAGCTACATAACATGATGGTGACTGGACTCAAAAGAGGATCTCAACAGAGCAACATGCCATGTTTACAGAAAATTTCATTCAAAATCTCAGCAGGAGACTACAGTTTCAGACTGATTTTTAAGTTTTCCTTTCTTGGGCCCAGCACAGTGGTGCAGTGGTTAAGGTCTTTGCCTTGCACACCCAGGATCCCATATGGGCACCGGTTCTATCCCGGCAGCCCCGCTTCCCATCCAGCTCCCTGCCTGTGGCCCGGGAAAGCAGTCGAGGACGGCCCAAAGCTTTGGGACCCTGCACCCATGTGGGAGACCCAGAAGAGGTTCCTGGCTTCGGATCGGCATAGCATCAGCCGTTGCGCTCACTTGGAGAGTGAATCATCGGACGGAAGATTTTCCTCTCTGTATATCTGCCTTTCCAATAAATAAATAAATAAAATAAACCTTTAAAAAAAACAAAAACAACAAAAAAAAAAGTTTTCCTTTCTTTATTTGAAAGGCAGACAGATCTCCACCTGCAGTTTCACTCCCCAGGAACACAACCAAGAATCAGGAACTTCATCCAGTGCTCCCAGTTGAGTGGCACACTTAAGTACTTGCTCTAGGGTGGCCAAAAGCAGAAAGCTGGACACAAGAGCAGAGCCATGACCCTACTTTATGCACTCTGATATAGGATATGGGTATCCCAAATGGCATCAACTGTGCACCAAACACCCATGCTTACACTAAGTGTAAATGCTATATGGACAAGAAAATGAAAAGGCAACTTCAAAGCAAGTTACAAGCACTAATGCTACTACATTTCAAGACATTTTAAAACAGCAATCACTGAGGCAATGTAGTATTGTTAAAAAGACATACAGATTAATGGAATGGACCCTAAATACAGATTCACAAAAGTACTATGATTTTTGACAAAGATACAAAGAAAGTTTGGTGGCGGAATGGACAAATAATTTTGAAACAACTAGATAGCTATTAAAAAAGGTGGGGGGAAGGAGGGAATTCTCTCCACCTAAACCTCACAGCCTACAGAAAAGCTATCTTAAAATAGGGTGCAGATTTTAATTACAAAGTCATAAAACTTTCAGAAAAAAAAACAGGGGTCACCATTGTAGCATAGCAAGTCAAGCTGCCAGTGTTGGCATCCCATATGGGCACAGGGTCAAGTCGTGTCTGCTGCTCTGTCAATTCAGCTCTCTGCTACTCTGCATGGGAAAGCAGCAGATGATGGCCCAGCTATGAGAGCAGCAGAAAGCTCCTGGCTACACCCTGGCCCAGCTCTGACTGTTGTGTTCATTTGGAGAGTGAATCAGCAGATGGAAGCTTGAGGTGCTATCTCCCTTTCTCTGTTGCGTGCAAGTTAGGAAAGCAAAACAAGGAAAAAGGAGGGAAGGAGGAAGAAAGAAAAGAAAAATTTTTTTCCAAAGAAAATTCATAAGAATTTCTCATAAGAGCTGAGGTTAAAAAGTCCTTGGCTGTGACACTGGAAGCATCATCTGCAGTAGGTGCAGTAGGTGTTGAACCTAGCAGTTAAGATACCCTATATCACAGTGTGTTTTTACTCTTGACTCACATCCCCCAAACGCAGATGCTATGGGGGAAAAGCAATGGTCCAAGTGTCTGGCTCGTCACCCACACTGCAGACATGGGTTGAGGTTCTGGCTCCTGCTCCAGCCCTGAAGGCTGCAGGCATCTGACGGACTGAACCCGTGGATGAGTGTGCTCATTCTGTTACTGTTTCTCAGATGGTTAAAAAAAAAAATTTAAAAGAATCATCCACAAACATCATGACAAATTAAGATCACATCAAGTTAAATACGTTTGAACTCCAAAATACACCAAAAAGTTGAAAAGAATTCAGAATGGCAAAAAACATTTACAAATCACATATCTGTTAAAATACTTCCACCAGAATATATAAAGAACTGTTATTACTCAAGAAGATAGCCCAATTAATAAATGGACAAAGGAGTTGAATAAACATTTACCAGTGAAAGATACACAAATGGTCAATAACCACAAAAAAGAATGGCTGATCAATTAGTTATAAGGGAAATGCAAATCTAAACCACAGCATTAATTACCCTCAAGAATGAATAGAATCAAAAAAACAGATAATAACAAGTGCTGAGAACGATGTGACCTCTTGTATACTGCTGGTGGGAATGCAAAATGTATACTCTGTATAATACCTCGGAAGTTCCTCCAATGTTAACTATCCAGGCCAATCTAAACTTTCTCTGAGCTGAGAAAGCAAAGCACATAAAAAAAATTTTTTTTTTAAAGCACATAAAAATTTGCATGCAGATGTTTATAATAGCGTTATTCAGCATACCCAAAAGGTGCAAATATCCTAAATGTCCATCAGCTTACAAATGAAAAACCTAATGGGATAACAGCCATGTGATCATACATGATTCTTAAAAAATATCATATGCTAGAACATGGTTGAATCTCTGACACACTGAGATCAAGTTACCAAAGACCACATATACTATAATTGCACATACAAGAAATGTCTGGTACAGGGAACTAAGAAAATGAATCAGTGGTTGTTTGGCTGACAAGGGATGGGGAGAAGGGAGGGATAGTAGCAAAAAGAAGATTTCTACTTAAGATAAAATCAGTGTTGTATATAGTATGATATATATTACAGATATTATATATTATGGATAAATGCATATACATTATGTCTCAGTATGGCTGTTAATATTATATGATTCAACGTATATTGTGGAGAAGGCAAAACTATAGAAACAGACAAAATCATGGTTTCCAGGGCTTCTAGGATAGGAGCAGGATGACTGGAACTGTTTCTATCTATCTATATCTCTGCAATAATTTGTTAAATACACCAGTGTTAATTATAATATATGTGTATTTTTAAAACAGTTTTTTTAATGTCAAAAAGATAAGACAATTTAAAGGGGAAAAAAGCTATTTCTCTCTTTAACAACTCAATCCAAAAGCACTGGATAAAATCAACAAGGTATGCCTAACGGGGTTTATGCACTCCAGTGAGTAAGGGAAGGATGTTGGACTTTCACAAGGATGGCACGCATTTCCCCGGGAAGGAGATGAGGTGACCTACATTTCGGAGAAACACACGAGCAGTAGGAATCAGGTTTCTCACTGCTATAAAAGGAAGCTATAAACATGGAAAAGGAGAAAATAAGAATCAACCTCCTAATATTAGAATCGAAACTTTAACTATGAACTCACAGCATTCAACATACACATACATGGAAATATATGTTAAAAACAATTACACACTAGTATCCAATCTTGGCTTTCAAATTTTTTGCAAAAATGGCACATCTTGGGCTGGAGTAGAGTAAACATAGTGAGTCTAGGATATCTTTTACCAGAGAGTAAAAAATTACACAAAGAAAAGAAAGGAAAATTACAAAAAGATATACAAAAGCCAGATCAAATAATGCAAATGTATAACAACTTACATCAACGTAATAATAATTTTTAATCTGTGAAAATAATAGAAAATCATGAATCTTCAGAGGTATAAATAAATAGAAATTCTGATGTAAAACAAGGTAGTTTTGTTGCAACTAACTGCTCATAAAATATCTATATACATAAGAACTTTACAAAGAAGTTTGAAAAATACTACCTTAACTGGTGATCTAAGTAACGCCTTCAGAAATGAAATAAATTCAAATATATTAATCATGACAGGATGTAATAACTTATGACCACTTCTATAACAACTGCTAAAAATGCCCCTCTAAGTCGAATTATGAAGTGTAAGGTGCCCTGGTTTCAATGGTGCACTCTCGCTAGGTAAGATAATGTCATTGCTTGAAGCAAATACATACTGGTCTGCTCAAAGATGAAGCAACATGTCCTCTACTAATTCAGAGTTCATAAAAAAAACAAACTATGTACCTTATGTATTATATTGTTTCTGTGTTGAGATTTCTGTTTTGGAAATTAATTTTTTTAAGGATTAAAAAGAAAATAAAAAGGCTGATATGAAACCTCAACGATTCCTTCCTCGATGTTTGGATCACTCAAAGTCAAAATGATAGCTCTGCCAATCAATGATCTGAATACGGTTTCTCCACTGACAAAGCACCTGTCCAATAACACTTAGCTTGTTATTTCTCCTTAATAACCCATTCCTGATATGTTCTCAAACTATTTTTAAATTTCTTGACATAATCTCTTCAGGAATAATATGTGAACAAAGAAATTTTCATTAGGTCTTAAAATTTACTCAAAATATGTTTGTGGGTCTAATTTCTGCCTTAATTTTTTTTCAGTACAATATTTTTCTGTGTAAATAGACAAAGGGGTACACAATTCCTATTTAGAAAAGTTTATTGAACATTATTCCTGTGTCACACTTATCAAAAAAAAAAAAAAAAAGAAAAGAAAAAATCCCTGAAGGCACCCTTTCACATGATCTATAACCTACTGGTTTTTGTATTAAAAATACAATTAATATGAAATTAGTAAAATGCAATTTATATAAAACTTCATGCTGAGCAAAAACAAGTCCAAAAAAAGTTACCATATATTCATAGATAGTTCCCAGAGTATGTATTTTCTACATAAAACCATATTTGAATGCAACTTTTAGAACCACAATTAAATATATTTGTCAGTGTGTTAACTGGAGGCATCCACATTTTCCCTCTTCACATGATCTGCTTCTTTGATTACGCATCTGCTAGGATCCACAGAAAGCATCACGAGTACTGGTTATTTCTCAAGGTTTGAGAAATCTGGTCCACCTTTAGAGTAGTTTCCTGAGATTTCTGCTCCACTGAAGTCAAAACCAGGATTCTAAAATATACGAAAAACATTACAATAAAACATAAGGACAAATACACATATGAACTGGCAATTCACAAAAAAAAATCTAAATGGGAAAAAAAAAATATGAAAAGGTGCTAAACTTTGTTGTAATCACCAAACTAGAATTTAAAACTGAGATATTTTTCAACTTATAGATTACAATGCTGGAGAGTGTTTGGAGAAATGTACTTTATCCATTGTATAAAAAGATTTTAATAATTTTTGAAAGCTTGCTATATATGCTACACAATGAGTTTAAGAGTTATACATCAGGACGGGCACAGTGGCTCAACACGCATCCTCTACCTACAAGAGTCAGCACTTGTAGAACTGATAACAGGCACCAGTTCCTGTCCTGGCTGCTCCACTCCCCATCCAGCTCCCTGCTTATTATCTGCGAAAGCAGTTGAGGACGGACCAAAGCCTTGGGACCCTGCACCTGCATGGGAGACCAGGAAAAAGCCCCTGGCTCTTGGCCTCAGACCACTCAGCTTTGATCACTGTGGCCATTTGGGAAGTGAACCAGTGGATGGAAAATATTTCTGTCCCTGTAAATCTGACTTTCGAATAAAAATAGTCTTTTTGGTAAGCAAGTTCATTTATTTAATCCCAAGCTACCAGTGCAAGAGTAGCCCACACAACTAAATTGGGCTTTGCAGGCTTTATACTCTCACAAGCACGCAAGTGTATAAAATACCATACGAGCTATAATACAATCTCATAGGAAATATAATACATAAATGAATATCCATGGATTGTTCTAGTAAAAGTTTATATACAAAAAAACAGGCAGGCAATAACCTGTATACGACCAGTAGCCCATAGTTTACAACTTCTGACCTACTGTGTTACAATGGTGTGGGGGGGACAAGTACTGCAGAATAAGACAACTGGAGAAAAATTACAGTATTTAAATGAGGTAATTCAGAGTATGCTTCATTGAGCAATGACTTCAAACTGGTTAGCTAAGCTAAGGGACAAAAAGCAATCTAGTCAAAAAACAGTTAAGGAATGATTCAACATGGTTGATAAACAAGGGGAGAAGAGGAGGGAAGAAAGGAGGAAATAAAGCAAAAAAAACGGAAGAGAAAGAAGTGAGGAGAGGGGAGGGGAGGGGGAGGAGTAAGAGAAAAAGAGGGAGTAGAAAGCCATTTGGGGACTAAAACAGAGGACGGAAAATTTTTCTCTCACTCTGTGTGTGTGTGTGTCTGTGCCTGAATGCTTCCCTCTCTGTTAACTCTGCTTTTCAAAAAATAAAATAAATCCTTACATTAGAAAATAGTTATTGAGGGCCCAGCATGGTAGCCTAATGGCTAAAGTCCTCGCCTTGAACGCACCAGGATCTCATATGAGAACCAGTTCTAATTCTGGTGGCTCCACTTCCCATCTAGCTCCCAGCTTACTGTCTGCGAGAGCAGTAGAGAACAGCCCAAAGCCTTGGGACCCTGCTCACACGTGGGAGACCCAGAAGAAGCTCCTGGTTCCTGGCTTCGGATTAACACAGTTCCAGTCATTGCAGTCATTTAGGAAGTGAATCAACAAACAGAAGATCTTCCTCTCTGTCTCTCCTCCTCTCTGTATATCTAATAAAAAAAAATTTTTTTTAAATAGTTACTGAAGTAATCCACACAAGACATTAGAAGTAGTCCAAACCACAACTGGTAAGTTTGGAGTGGTTGTTGAGAAGTGGCTAAATTCTGAACATGCTTGGAAAATAGTACCAGTCAGGACCCCTAACACATAGGGATTACAGCAGCAGAATTTCAAGAGAATTCCTTGAATGTTTGAATTTGTTTGCTGTACTGAAGCAACCAGCTTCCAGTAAATGACATGAAAAGGCTAGAGGTAGTATAAATCTGAGGAGGAAATGAGGGTACTCAATTTGGACTCGCTGCGATACATCTGTTAAGATGAGTCAGAGATGTTGAATATCCAACTGGATCTATAGTTTCAAAACTTAGAAGAAAATTTTAGAATACAAATATTTAGAAATCATTTCAAGAACATTACAATAAAGAGAGAAATTGGCCAACAAAACTTAAAAAAGGTGCTTTGATCTAATAATTCTTTCCCTAGAAATTTAAGATATCTATCTACTTGAACATTTCAGTGGTTTTATATGCCAGCCCTGTTAAGAATCTGTCTGTGAATTACCGATGCATATTAAGCACATTTTACCTCACAAGTCATACCAATTAAAATCACTCAAGAAAACCTAAACAATTTATACATTTTTCTATTTACTATAATCCAAAGTTTATTTAAAGAATTTCTGCAACTTGTTAAAACTACATGTGAGTTTTAATTTCAAATACTACAGTATTGTGAATGAATTTTCAGCGATTTCACTACACATACATAGACACAGATCTGACTTACTTCTTTTTGGAAGCGCTCTAATGTAAGCTTCCTCTGCATTTGGTCTTGTACCCAGGGATCAGCTGCATATTCAGATTCCAGAAGAGAAGTCCAGCAATTTGCTGCATCTCTCTTCGTCTTTGTAAGAACAATACGAACCATTTTTCTATCCTCTAAAGTAAAGTAACACCACAAATACAAAACATTAGAGTCCATCTGGACATACAAGCATTTCTAATACACTTCTATTATTCCATCTTTGAAAGGCACAAAATAAAAAAGTACCCAACACAAAAGAGGACAAATGCTAAGTTCGAAGGTAACGTTAATTTTCTAAGTTTGTGAGAATTATCGTAGATCATCCTTACCCAAAGTCCATGTTCCCTCATCGGCTATGGTAGAATCAAAGAGCTTGCCCTGAAAAATAAACATAGAAGGAAATAAGAATAGAGCAATTCATTTCTATAAGGCTTTCATGATTAAAAGTTATCAATTTCCTCTCTAATCCACATTTGTATCATGTTATCAGATTTCTCAGTGCTGACCTCTAACTTTCCTCCTAGGGATAAAAACAACTTAACTTACATTGTTTGCAATGTTTACAACAAGCACCAAGATCTCTTAAAAACAACCAGGACAAGAAATCAGGACTTTCTAATCTTTACAATGTAGATATAACATTAACTGTTGATTGGTCAAACATGAGGTTTACAGCTGACAACTTGAAATTTTACCCACTACACCACACTATGAGAAAGGAACTCCAACCCAAAGAAGTGGTGCTGTCTTTGTAAAACTTCTAGGGGAAGGTCATGGAGCAACAGGTTAAGCGACGGTGAGGGGTGCCTTCCCAGGGGTGGAGCCGCTTGCTTCCAGGCCCAGCTGCTCTACTGATCCAGCTTCCTGCTACTGCACCTGCTGGAAGACAGCAGATGCTGCCTCAAGTATGAGTTTCTGCCCTCCATGTGGGAGTCCCAGACGGAGTTTCTGGTTCCCAGTTTCAGCTGTGTCGGCCCTGGGTGTTGTGGTCATCTGTGAGTGAACCGGCAGATGGAAGAAATTTCTCTCATAAAAAATTTTTTTTTACAGTAAACTTTTACAGATAGGTTAATTCTACTCCAAAGCACTTTTAAAGCACATGCTATGGAGAGGACCAACTTTTCATTTAGGAGGAAGGCAACACAAATTTTTATGTGTGTCATTAAGCCCAAATCCACTTCAATCTCTTGCCAAACTTAACTAACGGAAAATGAAAATGTCAGCAAAATATATTCATATCTTTTAGTTTATCAACAATAGTTAAAGAAATTTTAGTGGCAAAATCCCAGCAGCACTGCTAAACTCTCAGTTATTGGAACTATCAAAATAAGCTTTCATTTTTGCATTTTTAAAAAAATGCTCTTATTTGAAAGCAGAGTTTCAGACAGAGAGGGAGAGACAAAGAGATCTTCCACCCCGAGGTTCACAACCATAAAGGCTGGCCTTCGAGCCAGGAGCTTCTTCCAGGTCTCCTACATGGGTGCAAGGGTCCAAGCATTTGGCTGGATACTGCTGTTTCTCCAGGAGCATCGGCAAGGAGCTGGACTGGAAGCGGAGCAACTGGGATACCCACCTGCACCCACAAGGGAGGCTGGCATATCAGGTGATGGGCAGACACTTGCCCCTAACATACACATTTCAATTGTCATCTTCAACCATCCTTCAGACAAATCAACTGTATCTATTCAGAGAAGTTATTAGTTGACACAGTGAATGCCTTTTACAAAAGTCATGAGGTACAAATGGCAGTTAGTTCCACATAAATACGAGCTAAGATGTATGAGTTTATTACACAGCAGGCACTACTTCAAACTCGTCCTTCCCTAGGGGTACCGGTGATGCTCAAAATAACGCTATGAAAAAGCTAAGAACCACACCTCGAGAAGGCCTGGGTCTCTCAGTAATATTAACGTGATGACTTTCCGCACAAAGTTATCATCCTAGAACACTCAGGAAATGACATTTCCTATCGAGCCGTCTCCTTTCACCAAGACACTGTCGCCCAACATCTTATGCATCTAAGAAATCTAATTCCAACCTGTTAATTGAATTTAAACCACAGGCTTAACAAGGGAAAGGCAGGTTCTCGACCTAAGGGACACTGACAAAAAAAAAGGATATAGATTATTTTTTTTCACACATCTCACACTTGCTTGTCCACCCCACAAACATGCTGCATTTTTTTCCTAGTACGATTCGGTAAATCACCTGAAATCATGTCTGAAGCCTCTCCTACTATCCCCATCTATTTCCTTGTACTCTGCACCACCTATGTTTCAACCTCCGCATAAGATACGCCTGGAGGAAGTATCAATACATATATTTATTCCTTCAACAATCTGATCATTCTCAGCCGAAGACCCTCCGAGAACTAGGAAGCGACAGCCCGACTTGATTTGGAAATCAAGGAGAGACGTGCTCGTGTTTCCACAAGTCAGGACCTGCGCAGAGCCCAAACCCGGGGCCAGTCCCCTGCCTTTTCTCTGTGCCAGGGGAGCCGAGTGGCCCCGAAGCCATTGCAAAGACGCGCAGCCCTTGGGGACGACCTGCAGCTACCTTGAGGATCTCGCGGCCCCCCACGGCCAGCGCCACATGCCGGCTCTGCAGGCCGCACTGGATGTCCTGGGCGCGGGTGCCTGGCGGCACCTGCACTTCAATGAACACCTCCTCCAGGGTCTGGTACCACTGGCCCCACGGCGTGCCGCAGGGCACCACCCCACTGCGCTCCTCAAACGGGGTCGACATGCTCCCGGCGCCTCTGGGCACAAGCGGCACTAGGCGAGCCGTGCGCACGCGCAGCAGCCTGCGGCCGATTCACGTCCGCCCAGGTCACTGCACATGCGCAGGAGGCGGCCCGCTTTCCCTCTCAAGAGACCCTTCAGGAAGACGCTAACAAGACCTAGCTGGAAAGAAATGAAAACCAGAGACGCTGCTAAGCAGAGAACACTGGGTTAAAGTCAGAATGAGAGCGAAAGGAACTCAACGACACCTCTGTGACGCAAAAATGCACCGTCGACCTGTCAGTGCGCCTGCGCCAATGCTGTTCCCACAGAGGTTGGAAGTCAGCAATGCCAGGAAGGGCTGTACTGACAGCTGGGGACCAATCGCAGTCAGGTATTGGCTGATGACGAAAACACCCGAGCTCCCTGATTGGACGCAGCGCGAGCCTAGTACGCACGCATCTGCGTTTTCCCGCACGGGAATGGTCGAGGCTTGTTTTCGGCGTTCCGATTGGCTGACCTGCGTGGTGGGCGGGGAATGCGTGCGGAGGTTTGAATTTGAAAAGGGAAAGCCGGGCAGGGTGTTGGGTGAGCTGCGGTGGCTTGCCAGGCAGGATCGGCTGTGGAAACCCCTGAGAGCATGTCGTTTCCTAAAGCGCCGCTGAAACGCTTCAACGACCCTTCGGGTACGTTCTGGGGAGCGAAGTGGGGGAACCGGGGAGGCCGCTGGCTAAGACCGGGAGAGGGCTCGGCTGGTCCGGGGGCTGGTCCGGGTGCATCTCCCACGTAAAGCAAGGGCTGTTCTCGAAGCTGAAGGTGCGGCGCTAAGGAAAAACAGACCGTGCCCCGAGGAGTTTCTGTCGGGACGCTGTGGAGGTCGAGGGTCTGAAGGGAGCGAGCTGAGCAGACGCTGGGCGCTGGAGGAATTCGCGGGGAAGAAACCGTTTTCTTCAGAAACCGATGATATCTTTTCAGTATTCCTTTCGGGCGCTAAAGAAGGAAGATGCGTGTGAATGATCTGTGATGAACATTTTCTCGATTTCAATGTAATGGTCAGCTTTTTATTTGACTACTGTTATGGTCCTTGCCTAAATTCCCGCTAAGCTAGGATTCTTTTTTTTTTTTTTTTAAAACCTTTTCACACTTTCTTTGGTGAAGAATTAAGCATTTGATTGTAAGGTAAATTATAATATGTTACCTCAAGAACAGAGAAAAAGCGGGAAGGAGGGAAAATTATTATGTTCCTAGAATTCTATCTATGAAATATTTTTGGATCTGTAAAAAAAAAAAAAGGAAAAGGAAAAGGAAAAAAAATGTAAAAAGGAAGCTTGATAGTTGACTGGTGTAGGAGTTACAGCAGTAGGAGACGCTGGAAAAGCTAAAAATGAAGTAATGACAGCTAATGCCACTTGTACTTCAGGGACATACTAAGTGTTTATATTGTTATTAGTTCTTTTTTAGCCCGCATACAACTTTGAGAGCATTTTATTCATTCATTCCTTTTCTTAAGTTTTGTTTATTTTTATTGTAAAATCAGATATACAGAGGAGAAACAGAAAGGAAGGTCTTCCGGCTGATAAATCACTCCCTAAGTAGCCACAACAGTCAGAGCTGAGCTGATGCCAAGCCAGAAGCCAGGAACCTCTTCCGGGTCTCCCATGAAGGTGCAGGATCTCAAGGCTTTGGGCCGTCCTCGACTGCTTTTCCAGGTCATAAGCAGGGAGCTGGATGGGAAGTGGAGCAGCTGGGGTTAGAACCTGCGCCCATATGGGATCCCGGGGGGGTGCTAAGCAGGGACTTTAGCCACTGGGCTACCACACCGGACACTTTATTTCATTGATAAAAGCACCACTGCTTACTTTTGCTCTCCTTAAACAGCCAGTTTGGCAGAACTGAGGTATGAAACCAAGCCCTGAGTCCTTGCTTGTATTTAAACCCTGCAGTGCCTAAACACAGTTAGCAGGATGCCTTGGATGTCGTGGTGGGCAGAAACCATTTGTAGATGCCTAATCGACTCTGCTGGCTGGACGGCTTTTCAGCCTCACGGTTTTGGGGATGAGAAGAGCTCTTTGATATTTGTTATGTGTGAACATTTTGGTGATATTTCATTTTATTTCACAATCCTTACAATCGTACTGTTAAGTGTTATTTTTTATTTGTAGTGAAGAATTTAAGTCCCCCAAAAGGATAACTTTCTGGCAAGTTTAAAGTTACACTGGAAGAGCAGAAGTAATTATGTTCTTATTTCCTCTCTTGTATCTACAGTGTATCTGACATTCAGTAATATATGTTTAGATGTTGTCTTTTTTTAAAGACCTATTCAAAAGAGTTATTGACTTACTTGAAAGAGTTGGGGGGAAGATCTGCCATCTGCTGTTTCATTTCCCAGATGACTGCAATAGCAGCCAGTCCAAAGCCAGGAACTAGGAAATCCATCCAGGTGCCCCATGTGGGTGCCAGGGCCTGCTGCCTCCCAGAGCTCTTACAAGAAGCTGCATTAGAAGCAGAGTTGCCAGGACTAAAGTTGGCACTTACTGGAACCACAAGTGACAACCTAACTCACTCTGCCCCAACACCAGCCCCAATTAGGTCTCTCAGCAGGCTCACACAGCTGTGTTTGAAACCTGGTCTTGCTGATCAAAATACCTATTCCCGGAGCAGGTTTTAAACCTGGGTTAAAACGGCCACATCTCATGTTCAAGTACCTCAACTTCATTCCTGGCTCTGCTGCCCATCCCAGCTTCCTGCTGATATGGACCCGGATGGGCAGCATGCAATTCCTAATGGATAGGACACCCAGCACTCAGGTGGGAGACCCCGATGGAATTCCCAGTTCCCAGGATCAGGCACTTCTGGGGAATGGCCAGCAGATGGGAACACTCTGTTTTGGTCTGTCGCCTCTGTCTCCCTGGCACTCAGATGATTTAAAAGGCTAAGTGAGGGCAGGCACTGGGAGGAGCAGGTGAAGCCATCACCTTCAAAGCTGGTATCCCATACAGGAACTGGCTCACGGCCTGCTTTTCCACGTCCATCCAGCTCCCTGCTAATGGAATAAAGCCAACAAACTATAATACTAGAATTCAGAATGTTTTGCTTTGTTTTGTTTCTGGCTGCTTATTGAGACTAGGGCAATGCGACTCACGTTTTTGCAAAGAAGCATCTCTAAGGGCAGATTGAAGGAACATGACTGTGGGCTCTGCATCAGAGCAGCTCCTGCCAACCCCCAAACAGGCATAATTAGCAAGAGTGGTGGCAGTTTTCTCAAAATTCTTATTTACCTCAACATACATTATGTTCCTCATTACCTTCTCTTGCCTATAGCAAATGAACAAGAAATGCACTAAGATGTGCCATGTTTGGCCTGCATTGAGGCAGCCTTGTGACTTGACTCTGCCTTGATACTGTAGAGTATAAATGATGAAGTGTGAGAGACAGGCAACCTGTGCTGAGGTTAGCCCAGTGAATTCTGTGCTTCACTTTGAGATTCTTTTCTAAGATTTATTTATTTTTATCGGAAAGGCAAATCTGATTTTATGGAGTGAAGGAGAGACAGAAAAACCGTCTAACTTATGGTTCACTCCCCAAAATGTGGCAACAGCCAGAGCTGAGCTGATGTTAAGCCAGGAACCTCCTCCAGATCTCTTATGTAGGTGCAGGTCCCAAGGCTTTGTACCATCCTGTACTGCTTTCCCAGGCCACAAGTGGAGAATTGAATGGGAAGTGGAGCAGCTGGGATGTGAACCAGTGCCCACATGGAATCCTGACGTGTACAAGGCAAGGAGTTGGCCACTAGGTTATCATCCCGGGCCCTTAATAGAATTTTTATGGTGTACTTAGAATTGGTGAAAGCACATGGAAGTACTTTTAAAAGAATAATCCAGCATAAAAATGACTTAAAATTGTCCATAGCATACTGTGGTACTTCACAATGCTCATGGAAGGGCCAGTGTTGTGGCAGAGCAAGTTAAGCTTCTGCCTGAGATGCTAGTGTTAGGGTCCAAAATCGCCCCTCTGTTGGATAGCAAAGAACCAGACATGGATGTAATCTTCAAGCAGAGTTTATTGAGCTAGCTAGCCAGGGTCAGGCTCCTCACATGGACACGCAGGACCAGTGGATGAAGCAAGACCCCAAGCTAGGGACAAACCAGATTCTTATAGGCCAGTTTGGCTGTTCATGACAAGACAAAACTATTCTAAGCTAAGGGGTTTCAGATGCAAAGCAATAGGTAACACATCTGTGAAATACAGACCATGGGGCCATTTTTATTTTTACCCTTATCAGGGCCACTGAGCCTGGGTGTGGGGGACAATGGGCTCTTGCTCTTACTCTTCTCAGTGCCTGCAAAAAACCCACTGACCCTCCCAGCCCAAGCCTGGGAATGTGGCCCAAGTTATTTGTAGAAACTTCTTTTTACTTTAAAATCAAGTTGCTTTTGACTTACTCAAACAATTTACAATATGTAGACCTTTTAACATTTTGGTTGCCTCTAACACTAGTGTCATAGAACACTGAATGCTGGCTGCTCCACTTCCAAGCCAGGGCCCTTTTAATACACCTGAGAGAGCAGCAGAGCTGGTTCAAGTACTTGGGTCCCTGACACCCACATGAGAGACCAAAATGGAGTTGGTGACTCTTGGCTTTAATGATAGGGCTCTAACCATGTAGCTATTTGCGGTGTGAACTAGTGAATGGAAGATTCTCTTTCTCTGTCACTCTTTCAAATAAATAAATTTTCAAAAGAGTTCATGGAAATATACAATTAAAGTATAAATTTATTTTGGTTTAGAAAAATTTGGAAGCAATGACGGTTTTTCATGATATGTTTTTTCATGATAAAAGTTCCATGAACAATTTTAAAAATGCTCTGTATTTTTGTATTTCTAAAGAGTGAAAAGTTACAGAAAATTGTGATTGCTTTAGCTTGCTGCACATGGGTAATATTGATGTTTTCTGTTATTTCACTTTGAAAAAATCTTTAAAGAAATCATTCATTTGTTTGAATGACTGACAGAGAGAAAGGGAGAGCTAGGTGGATGAATTGTCCATCGCTGTGTGATTTCCTCCAAAT